CTTTTATATATTCTTCTCTTATAGGGGGAGACAAACGCTCATAAGCAACTAATGGCACTTTTGTTGCCTCTGAATGTCTTGTTAGGTCATATGCTGCAGCATAACATTATATACATATTTATTTATTTATTTATTTTATTTATTTATTTATTTATTTATTTATTTATATTGAGGTATATTATTACGGTTTATAAGGGTTTATTAGTGTTTATTAGTGTTTATAAAGGGTTTATGAGGGTTTATAAGAGTTTAGGGTTTATGAGGGTTTAGGGTTTAGGGTTTAGGGTTTATGAGGGTTTAGGGTTTATGAGGGTTTAGGGTTTATGAGGTATACCAGCTCGATCAGCATGTCCAGCAACTTCGATCCAACCATAAGAAGTAAATACTTCTGCATCCCAACAATCAGCAGCATAATGTGCCATTTCTGATGGTAAATGTTGCCTAAATCTAATATATTTACTAGGTATATTAAGAGAAATAAGGAAAGAATAAGTCTTATATAAATAATATGCTAATGTCTCGTTATCTATTATACCATCATTTACTGCATCCTCTAATCGTCTTAAATACCAACGAGGACCATTTCCAAATCCGCATACAATACTCGATCCCGATCCCGATCCCGACCCCGACCCCACACTCGATCCCGATCCCGATCCCGACCCCGACACCACACTCGATCCCGATCCCGATCCCGATCCCAAATTTTCGGATGCCGATCCCGATCCCACACTGGATCCTGCTCCTCCTAATTGATCTTTAGCACTAAATAATGGTAAATAATAATGTTTAATAGAATTAAATTTATAATATTTTTTTTTTCCTTGTTGGCTACAAAAATGTTCAATTTCTGCCATAAAAAATTCTCTTGTTCTTAATAAATAATTTCTTGGGGATATTTCGTTCCTGAATCCAATTCCTATTTGTGCACAAGCAAATGGTATTTTTCCTCCAACATAATCAAATAAACGACGAAAATTTACAAATATACCTTGAGCTGTCTCAGGACGTAAATGTCCTAATCCTTCCTGCTGCTGCTGCTGCTGCTGTACTTGCTGCTGCTGCTGCTGCTGCTGCTGTTTTTTTGATTGTTTCTCTTTTTTGCATGAAGCTGACGATTCTTCATCACGCTTCTCAATCGTTTCTTTTTCTGTACCATTACTATTGTTGCTGCTGCTGCTACCTGCTGCTGCTGCTGCTGTTGCTGCTACTCCTTCCTGTTTAGGACCTAATTTTAAAGAAAACATTAAATTAAATGGAAAAGGAGAAGAAATTGGATTACCGCTTGGGGATAAGACAGAAAAACGTTTAAATAATTCATCTAATTGTTCAGGTGTATAGGCATCTGCCTGATTAGCTATATATTGTAATTCATTTATTTTTTCCTCTTTTTCTTCCTCTTTTATTAATTTATTCTCCTTTACCTTCTCTATTTCTTTCTCTATTATTTCCTCTAAATATTTATCCGCACGTAAACATTCTCCTGTTATTATATCTTTTACCATTAAATCCGTAAAACGATCTACATGCCCTATAAATAAATAAATAAATAAATAAATAAATAAATAAATAAATAAATAAATAAATAAATAAATAAATAAAATAAATAATATAAATAAATAAAACAAATAAATAAAACAAATAGAATAAATGGATAAATAATATATATTTATTTATATAATTTATTTAATTTAATTAATAATAAACAAAGAAAAAATAAATAAAGAAGGAAATAAATAAAAGAACAACAACCAACAAATAAACCTACCAAGTATAACCATTTAAAAGAAAGAGAATAAAGAATAAAGGAAGAAAAAATAAAAAAGAATAAAAAATAAAATAAAATAAATAAAATAAATAAATAAATAAATAAATAATAAATTACCTGAAGATTTAAGTACTGCATGGGGAGTCAAACAAGTTGAAGAAATCTCAAGAATTTCTTCTTCTATAATAAATTTATTTCGCCAAAAATTCTCAACTTGATTTTTTAGTGCACACCCTGTATACAAACCCTAAACCCTAAACCCTAAACCCTAAACCCTAAACCCTAAACCCTAGAAAAATAGAGAACCTTAATAAACCCTTGAAATATATAGACCCTAGAGACATAGAAGGATAAAGGTGCTGGGGGGAAAAAAAACAAATGTTTTATATAAATAATACAGAAATACTTATATACACCAGAAAGTGGATAGCATAAACCCTAAACCCTAAACCCTTAAGTATATATTTTGTTCTATCGATGTAATTTGTATGTGTTAAGGGTTTATTGTTTTTTTCCTCATTAGTCTGTATATTAGGGTTTAGTTCTTTTATATATGAATTAAAATTTACTAAGGTCTAAAAAAATTAGGGTTTACAAAATTAGGGTTTACAAAATTAGGGTTTAGGGTTTAGGGTTTAGGGTTTACCAGGGGGCCCGAAATCAAATAGACCACCAGATCCTCCATAAATCTCGAAGGAAGGGACGACGTAGAATTTTCTTTTGATTATATTTTCGAATTGTTGTTTATATTTAAGGAAATGGGGTAAATCGTCTTCTTCTTCCTGCTGCTGCTGCTGCTGCAGTTGCTGCTGCTGCTGCAGTTGCTGCTCTAATTGCTGTACACGATCACGTGCTGCTGTTAATGATGCAGTTGCTGCAGCAATAGCAGCAGAATTACTCCCTTGCTGCTTACGTAATTGACGTGCTTCTTCTTGTAGTCTTGCTACCTCACCTTGCTGCTGCTGCAGTTGCTGCTGTAAAGCAGCAATGTCCTGCTGCTGCTGCTGCTGCTGTTGTTGCTGCTGTTGCTGCGGCTCATGTTGAGCCTCACTCGCAGAACTCGCCGTCATCTCCAAACTTCTTCTACTCCCGTTGCTTCTGCTGCTGCTCTTGCTGCTGTTCTTGCTGCTGCTGCTGCTGCTAAACAGACAGACACTATAAGAATTAAATGTCTTATTAATTGAGTAATTAAATAATTCTTGACAACAAACAAATCGCGAAAAGAAAGGACTAAGGCAACGGCGGCGAGCAGGACTAAGAAGGATCCCAACCCCCAGCATCCAACGAGCTAGGGTTTAGGGTTTAGGGTTTAGGGTTGGGGGTTTAGGGTTTAGGGTTTAGGGTTTAAATTTAATTCTTTTTAACAAAAAGAAATATACACTACTACTGCAACAACGGCTACGAGACAGTCACAAGTTAAATCGTGGGGCGCTCGGCTCTGCGGGGCTTCCAAACCCTAAACCCTAAACCCTAAACCCTAATAATAAGAAACCCTAAACCCTAATAAACCATAAAGAGAAAACCCTAAAAAATAGACAATAAAGAGTAAATTAAACAGTTTAATTCCTCCTTTTATATTTTATTTGTCTTTGTCTTGTTTATAGGAGATTGACTCGTCCTTATACCCTGTAAACCCTAAACCCTAAACCCTAATAAACCCTCAACCATATAAAAACGCATGCGCTGCACGCGAATTGTTTTCTTGATTCTTATTTAAATTAATTCTTTTCTTTTTATTTAAATAAATAAATATAAATAATATTAAATACTATTTATATTCTATTTAATCCCTATTTATGCTGTATATATGCACCATAGACATTATACACCTACAGCAACACAGCGCCTACAGCAACAGCTAAACCCTAAACCCTAATAAACCCTAAACCCTAGTAATCCCTAAAACCCTAAACCCTAAACCCTAATTGCTGAGTCTTTAATCCTCATATATGCTCTTCTGCTGCATAGATATACCTCTTTTGTAGACAACTTAGCGTGTGTCGTACATCTTGAGGGTTTAGGGTTTAGGGTTTAGGGTTTGCAATGCAGCAGCAGCAGAGGTAATAGAGCGGCTCTTCCGCCTGCAGGGCCTTTGATGCACCCAAGCGCCCCTGCCAATGCAGCAGCACCAGCAGCAGCACTTCTTACAGCAGCAGCAACAGCTACTGCAGCAGCAGCAGCAGCAATTCCCTGAGCAGCAGCAGCGACAGTTGCTGCAGCAGCAGCAACAGCTCCAGCAGCAGCAGCAGCAACTGCTACTGCAGCGCCGTTTTCTCTATCCGAATTCTCCCCAATCTCTTAACCTTCCTCAGCAGCAGCAGCAACAACTGCAGCAGCAGCAGCAGCAGCACCTACAGCAGCAGCAGCACCAACAGCAGCAGCTCCTATCGGAGCAACTAGAAGACCCACAGCAGCATTTCCTTGGTCATGATCTATACCAGCAGCAGCAGCACCTACAACAACAACAGCAGCAGCAGCAGCATGAACTGCAGCAGCAACAGCAGCAGCAACAGCAGCAGCAGCAGCAGCAGCAGCAGCAAAGATTAACCTTATTAGAGGCCCGTATATTAGATTCACGTTTACGTTTGCTGCTGCATGCAGGAGGATTTAATTTTACTAAGGAAGAAGAAAAAGAAATAATAAATAATATTAATTGCTGCTTCTTTCTTTCCTGCTGCTGCGGTGTTGCTGCTGCTGCTGCTGCTAGAAGAATTACTGCTGTTAGGGTTAGTTACTACCTGCTGCCGCTGCTGCTGCTCCTGCTGTTGTTGTACCTGCTGCTGTTGCTGCTGCTCATGATGGTTTTGGTGGTGCTGCTGGCGCTGGCATTGTCTTGCATCTGCTGCTGCGATTGCTGCTGCTGCTGTTATTATCTCTGCTGCTGCTGCTGCTGCTGCTGCTGGATTCGTAGCAGGAGCTGCTAAATATGCATTGAATATTCGTGCTGCTGCTGTTGCTGCTTCTGCTGCAGAGTACTCAGGTATCTTGTTTTTTTGCTGGTGCCGTTGGCTGCTGCAGTTTGCTGCTGCCGCTGCAGCAGCAGCAGCAATGGCGACGTTTGCTGCAGACACCCCACAGCCAAGCAGGAGCAGCAGCAAGGCAGCTGCTGCAGCAGATGCGAGCAGCACAGATACCTATTAAGGAAACACCAAACCCTCCTCTTCCCTCTGCTCCTCTTGCTGCTGTTGCTGCTCAACATATGCTGCAGCAGCAGCAGCATATGCAGCAGCAGCAGCAACGGCAGCAAGCTGCTGCTGCTGTAAACGGAGGTCTATTGGGAGCTACAATGTGGTCAACACGATGGGGAGGAATTCTTCGTAAGTGCTGCTGCTGCTGCTGCTGCTACTGCTGCTGCTGCTGCTGCTGCTGCTGCTGCTGCATGAATTGCTATTGGTGTTGCTGCTGTGTGCATTGCTGCTGTTGCTGCATGCATTGTTGCTGCTGTTGCTGCTGCTGTGCTGCATGCAGCCTATCGTTCTTGGGATGACGTTTTCTCAGAGGCGTTTCTGCCGCAGCAGCAGCAGCAACAGCAGCAGCTGCTGCAGCAACGGCAGCAGCAGCAACAGCAGCCAGAGCTTTGATTTTAGGGCTGCAGCAGCAATGCTGCTGGAGCAACACCATAAACCCCCTTATTTATGCCACTGCAGGCATAAAGAAGAGGGGTTAGGGTTTATTAGGGTTTAGGGTTTACGAGGGTTTAGGGTTTACGAGGGTTTAGGGTTTGCGAAAAAAATACATTTTTAGTGCTATGTGCCTCCGGAGCATCAAAACAAATATAGCTGCTGCTGCTGCTGCTGATTTAGCAGCAGCAGCAGCAGCAGCGGGGCAGATTTTTGAATGCTTGCTGCAGTACCAACTGCAGCAGCAACTGCAGCTGCAGCAGCAACTGCAGCTGCAGCAGCAGGGGCAGATATTTCAATTCTTGCTGCAGTAGCAACTGCAGCAGCAGCAACTTGCAGCAGCAGCTGCTGCAGCAGCTGCTGCAGCAGCTGCAGCAGCAGCAGCAGCAGCACTGTAATTTGTTGCGCTGCTGCATCTCTGCTATTTTCTATTGAAAGCAAAATGCTAAGAGTGGCTCTAAGAGCTTCCTTGATAGATTTGAGTTAACCTGCAAACCCTAAACCCTAAACCCTAAACCCTAAACCCTAATTTCCCTCCCAACCCTAAACCCTGCATATTCTCTGTCTAAACCCTTAAAACGCTAAACCCTAAACACAGTGCTTACTAAACCCTAAACCCTCGATTACAGTGATGATGTCGCCAATCACTATAACTGCAGCAGCAGAAACCCTCGTAAACCCTAAACCCTAAACCCCCATTACCTGGGGAAAACAGAAGGCTCGTATTTGTTTATTGTCATCAATTAATTCGTAGGGTTTAGGGTTTAGGGTTTCTTGAGAAGAAAGACGAGGAGGACCTCTAACCTCTTCTCCTTCTTGTATGTTGTTACATCTTGTTATAAACCCTCGTGCCGCTGCAGCACACAAAACCCTAAACCCTAAACCCTAAACCCTCCATGGCTGCCTGCATAGCTAGGCATACGCCAAAGGAGGAGAGAGAAGAACAAGAAATAACATAAACTATATACGAGGGTTTAGGGTTTAGGGATTACCTTCAAGTCTTTCGTCTTCTGATGCCACAGCGAGGATCGCCAGCTGTCGCTCCATCTCTGCAAACCCCAAACCCTAAACCCTAAACCCTAGACTGTAAACCCTAATTTATTGGCTATGCTAGTCTCTCTGTTCAAATCTCTCCTAAACCCTAAACCCTCGCTAAACCCTCAACTTACGTTGATTATTTTCTTTTTTAGGGTTTAGCGACAACAGCACATACAGCTGCAAACCCGACGCTGCTGCGTCTGCCTGCTCATAACCCCAGCAGCAGCAGCAGCAGCAGCAGCAGCAGCAATGAATGCAGCAGCAGCAGCAGTAGGAGTACGAGCGCATGCAACTAACTGTATGCAATGGATCGGAACAATTTGTGCTGCTATCACTAAACCCGATGCGTATAAATCTAGGGTTTAGCGAGGGTTTAGGGTTTATCGAGGGTTTAGGGTTTAGCTAGGGTTTAGGGTTTAGGGTTTACATACAACAAATGAATAAATGGCGTTTTTTGTTTTTTCTTGAGAAAAAAGAATTTGCAAAGAAATCGTCAATGAAGAAAATCCGACCTACAAAAGGACAAACCCTAAAAAAAAAAATTAGGGTTTAGGGTTTAGGGTTTAGGGTTTACGGGTTAGTAAATTAAATGTTTAAAATAATAAATATATCAAGAAATAAAATAAAACAAAACAATAACTAAGAAATAAACAAATAAAAAATATATAAATGTATACATAATAAATAAATAAATAAAATAAATAAATAAATAAAAACAAATAAATAAATAAAAATAAAATAAATAAATAAGTAACTTACTGAACACTTTGGGTAGGAGAAGGATTTAAAATCACTCCGCAGCAATGCCGGCACACCCTGAAAGAAAATAAGGGTTTAGGGTTTAGGGTTTAGGGTTTGTAGTTAATTAGGGTTTAGGGTTTAGAGGTTAGGGGTTGGGTTCTAGGGTTTACAGCAAAGGTTTCCAAGTCTACAGTACATAGGCATTCAAGTCGAGGGTTTACAAGGATTAGGGTTTGGGGTTTTTAGGGTTTAGGGTTTAGCTAGGGTTTAGGGTTTAGGGTTTAGGGTTTACGAGGGCGAGTTGTTTCTGTATATCAAATCTAAGGATTTCAAACCCTCGTCTAACAATCGCTAAACCCTCATAACTCCATCCTAATATATTCAATAACCAATCCATTGCTCCTTTATCCCTGCCAGCAAACGCTAAACCCTAAACCCTAAACCCTAAACCCTAAACCCTAAACCCTAGAGTTGGGGGCAAGAGGCCATCAAATAAACCGTAAAAATGCTTAAGAAGAGTGGAGGAAAGGGGACCGATTGAAGCAGAAGGGTTTAGGGTTTAGGGTTTAGGGTTTAGGGTTTAGGGTTTAGGGTTTAGGGTTTACACTTCGTTCCATCGAACCCCTCGTAGCTCGGGTTTACACGCCACGGTGTCTGTACAGAGCAGCAGAGGCAGCAGCAAACATCTAGCTAGCTAGCTAGCTGTTTTATTTGTATATATATTATTAGGGTTTAGGGTTTAGGGTTTAGCGTTTAGCCTACCTGTTATAATAGCCCCTATAAGAAGGGCCGCGAGGTCGCGAGGGGGAGGCGGCAAACCCCCAAGACGTTGTACAGCCCTTAGCTGCAAATACAAACCCTAAACCCTAAACCCTAAACCCTCAAGAACTAGAGCCCCCGTCAAAACCCTAGAAAAATGCAGACAAGGGTTTGGCTTAAAGAGGGAAGTATGTCCTAGCCAAATGTATTTAGGGTTTAGGGTTTAGGGTTTACGGCTAATACAACAAGAGAGGCACAGGAGCCAACACGAAGATCAGTCAAATTAGGGTTTAGGGTTTAGGGTTTACGGCTAATGCAACAAGAGAGGCACAGGAGCCAACACGAGGACCAGTCAACTTAGGGTTTAGGGTTTAGGGTTTAGGGTTTACAGCTAATGCAACAAGAGAGGCACAGGAGCCAACACGAGGACCAGTCAAATTAGGGTTTAGGGTTTAGGGTTTAGGGTTTACAGCTAATGCAACAAGAGAGGCACAGGAGCCAACACGAGGACCAGTCAAATTAGGGTTTAGGGTTTAGGGTTTAGGGTTTACGGCTAATGCAACAAGAGAGGCACAGGAGCCAACACGAAGATCAGTCAAATTAGGGTTTAGGGTTTAGGGTTTACGGCTAATGCAACAAGAGAGGCACAGGAGCCAACACGAGGACCAGTAATATATTTGCATGCATTTGTTGTTAATTGTTGTTTATCTTCATGATGATCTAAGCAACTTATTACTTTCTCCTGCCACCTGCAAAACACTAAACCCTAAACCCTAAACCCTAAACCCTAAACCCTAAACCCTTAACCCTAAACCCTAGACCTTAGACCCTAAACCCTAAATTGTCAGTCAGCAAATTGAGGGGTGACGGATATATATATTATATATCTATTATATACATAAGCAGCAGCAGCAGCAGCAACAGCAGCAGCAGCAACAACAGCAGCAGCAACAGCAGCAGCAGCAGCCTTACAGCCTCCTATCTCCCTCCAAGTTGTTGTGGTCAACCAAACAAAAACAAACACATCCCTTCTTACTCCCCCCCTGCTGCTGCTGCTGCTGCTGCTGCAGTTGCTGCTGCTGCTGCAGTTGCTGTTGCTGCTGCAGTTGCTGCTGCTGCTGCAGCACCTGCGCCCACACAACACTCCTATATAGCTACAGCTAGCTACAGCTAGCTGCAGCTAGCTGCATGCAAGAGGCAGCACTATAAAGAAGCCAACAACATCTATCCTGCTGCTATTGCTGCTGCTGCTGTTGCTGCTGCTGCTGCAGCTGCTGCTGCTGTTGCTGCTGCTGCTGCTGCTGACCTGCTGCGGCATTTGTTGAGGTAAGAAGAGAAGACAAGAGGTCGATGATTCGCCCAAGCAGCAGGAAGTCCACCAATCCACCTTCGTAGCAGCAGCAGCAGCAGCAGCAGCAGCAGCAGCAGCAGCAGCAGCAGCAGCAGTAGCACATCAGTACCATGTGCAGCAACAAGAGTGGAGAAGCAGCAGCAACAACAACAGAAACAGCAGCAGCAACAGGAGCAGCAGCAGCAGCAGCAACAGCAGCAAATAAACTGCAGCATGCTTACTTGCAGCTTGCTGCGGAAATCCTCAGGGGAACAATCAACAAAGGGTAAGAAGGCAGGAAGACAAACCCGCTGCTGCTGCTGCTGCTGCTGCTGCTGCTGCTGTTGCTGCTGTTGCTGCTGCTGTTGCTGCAGCAGGCGGCATGTCTCCATACAGAAGGCGTAGCCAATAGCAGCTACAGTAGAATCCTGTAACACAGACAAACCCTAAACCCTAAACCCTAAACCCTAAACCCTAAAGTTGGTATTATAGGATGAAGATGATGGCAGCAGATGCTGCCGAGTGTACAATTAGGGTTTAGGGTTTAGCATTAGGGTTTAGGGTTTAGGGTTTAGGGTTTACTAACCAGATCTGTGCTGCTGTTTCCCACAACAAATGCAATATTACCAACATCCTCCTCTTTTGGCTGTGCTGCTGCTGCTGCTGCTGCTGCTGCTGCTGTGTCTGCTGCAGCAGCAGCAGCAGCAGCAAGCTGCAGACGCTGCGAACAGCTGACGAGGAATGCAGCAGCAGAAGGAGAAGGCCATGCTGCAGCAGCATTTTTGTCTGCTGCTGCATTTGCTGCTGCTGCTGCTGCTAATGCTGCTGCTGCTTCCACGGCATTATCATCATCTGCTGCTACTGCAGCATCCGGCGCAGCAGCAGCAGCAGCAGCAGCTTCTTGCTGCAGTACTAATTCTTCTTCTCTTTCTGCAACAGCAACACAGACAAACGCATGCAATTTTTTTGTGCTGCTGTTGCTGTTGCTGCTGCTGCTGCTTGTGTTGTAGTTTATGTTATTGCTGCAGCTGCAGTCGCTGCTAGCAGGACTGCTGCTGCTGCTGCTGCTGCTGCTGCTGTTGCTGCTTCTGCTGTTGGGTAGACCCGTACCGAGGAGAAGGTGGGCTTTCTCAACAGCTGCCTGCAGCAGACTCATTGCTGCTGCTGTTGCTGTTGCTGCTGCTGTTGCTGCTGCAGTTGCTGCTGCAGTTGCTGTTGACCGCAGCAGTAATTTGTGGCGTCTTCCACCGCGTTTGCTGCTGCTGCTGCAGTTTTTGTTGCTGCTGTTGCTGCTGCTGCAGTTGTTGCTGCTGTTGCTGCTGCAGCTGCTGCTGTTGCGGATGTTGCCAATGGCTCGTTATTGCATACAAGGGTTTAGGGTTTAGGGTTTAGGGTTTAGTGTCGAGGCTGAGGGTTTACGATGTCCGATGTACGATTTACCGGTTGTAGATTAAGGGTTTAGGGTTTAGGGTTTAGGGTTTAGGGTTTAGGGTTTATAATAATCCCTATCCTTCTTTTTCTTTGTGTCTTTGAGCTGCCTATACACCCGAGTGTGTGTCATTAATAAAAAGAAAAAAAAAAAAAAAAATAATTTAT